GCCTGGAGCATGAGCTATACCAGTGTTAATACAGCTGATGGAGCCCAAAGATTTACCCAACTCAAATGAACAAGTTCCCAAGAGCATCATGGACCTTAATCAAAGCCTCTAGGGAGCCATGTCTAACTAGCTTTTGAAAAATATTTTGCAGAAAGTTTCTCAGTTGTTTTAACATTGACCTGCTGTGGAGACAGATGGAATCTAAATTGATATTCAACATTTTGTCTCTAATTCCAGATTAACCTAGAAGTTCAAACCATTACCAATGCTATAAAAACTGAAATTGTAGAATTTCAGTAAACATAGAAATTATTTTCTAATAATGTTTCTAGTTTTATAGTTGTTTTACAGTTTATATAAATGTGGTATTGATTGCCATACAACACAGTATTATACAGAGGCAGTATAATGTAATAGTTAAGAGTATGGGCTTTTGAGCCAGACTGCCTGGCTGTGAATCTTGGCTTTGCCACTTACTAGCAGAATGACCTTGAGCAAGTTACTTAACCTCTCTGTGCTTGTTTCCTCATACATAAAATGGGAATAATAATAGTAACCAGTCAGGGTTTTCCAGAGAAACAGAATCAGTAGGAGATAACTGTATATACATATATAGCATACGTTTCCAGGCCATCAGGCTGGAAATTCTTGGTCAGGATCTGATGCTATAGTCTTAAGGCAAAATTTCTTCTCTTACAGAGAAACCTCAGTTTTGCCTATAAGGCCTTTCAGCTGATTGAACAAGACCCACCCACATTATTAAGGATAATTTCCTTTACTTAAAGTCAGCTGATTGTAGATGTTAATCACATCTACAAAACACCTCCACAGCAACACCCAGATTAATTAGTATTTGATTGAATAACTGGGTTCTATAGCCTAGTCAAATTGACACATAAAGCTTACCATTATACCTACTATCAAATTCATAAAAATTGTGAAAATTTAATGAGTTAATGCATGTAAAGTACTTAGAACAGAGCCAAACACATAGGAGGCACTCATAAAGGTTAGCTGTTATTATATACTCTTTAAATCCCAAAAGTACTCTGGTTCTAGAAAAGATAATAATATTTAGTGATAGTTACTATGAAATCATAATGTATCTGTGCTAGATAGAACCTTGGAGGTCTTCTAGGCCAGCCTCTCATCTTAAAAATATGGAGGCCGAGTTCCAATCTGTTTTTTGTTTGTTTTTTTCCCATAAATTTATTTATTTATTTATTTATTTATTTTTGGCCATGTTGGGTCTTCGTTTCGGTGCAAGGGCTTTCTCTAGTTGCAGCGAGCGGGGGCCACTCTTCATCGCGGTGTGCAGGCCTTTCACTGTCGCAGCCTCTCTTGTTGTGGAGGACAGGCTCCAGACGCGCAGGCTCAGTAGTTGTGGCTCACAGGCCCAGTTGCTCCGTGGCATGTGGGATCTTCCCAGACCAGGGCTCAAACCCGTGTCCCCGGCATTGGCAGGCAGATTCTCAACCACTGCGCCACCAGTGAAGCCCCAATCTGTTTTTCATAGTGCAGCCATAGTGATTTTGCTTTTTCACAGTAAGCAGTATACAGAGTAAGCCCTCATGCGGCTTACATCTTAATAAGATGCCCGTAGTTTCTGTCCCAACTCTAACCAATATTCTTATTCATTTTCATGCAGGAAGGGAATGACAGAATTGGGTTCAGAGACTGTGCTACAGGCCAAGTGCCCCCAAACAAGTAGAAATGTTTATACTCAACTTTTAGATTCAGAGGCTTGGAACGTAACGTTTTCCCACATTGGCATCATTATCTTATTTGAAATTTTAAAGTAGTTCTTCTAGGGACTTCCCTGGTGGCGCAGTGGTTAGGAATCTGCCTGCCAGTGCAGGGGATGCGGATTCTAGCCCTGGTCTGGGAAGAACCCACATGCCACGGAGCAACTAAGTCCATGTACCACGACTACAGAACCTGCACTCTAGAGCCCGTGAGCCACAACTACTGACCCACGTGCCGCCAGTGCAGGGGATGCGGATTCTAGCCCTGGTCTGGGAAGAACCCACATGCCACGGAGCAACTAAGTCCATGTACCACGACTACAGAACCTGCACTCTAGAGCCCGTGAGCCACAACTACTGAGCCCACGTGCCACAACTACTGAAGCCTGTGCACCTAGAGCCTGTGCTCCACAAGAGAAGCCACTGCAATGAGAAGCCCACGCACCACAACGGAGAATAGTCCCTGGCTGACCGCAACTAGAGAAAGCCTGTGCGCAGCAACGGAAGACCCAACACAGCCAAAAATTAATTAATTAATTTAAAATAAAAATAAAAAAATAAGGTAGTCCTTCTATGGGGTCTCTTTTCATCAGGACTTAAGTCATTTCTCAAGAATATACTAAATACTTCTGAGGGCCTGAGGGAAATAAAAAATGTACTTTCTTAGCACCTGATTTTCAACCACTGTGAAACTTGGCCACTGGGGAAGTTGTCTCATTCCCTTGACATGAAGACCCATTAACAAAAACTGCATAAAAGCATGAATAATAAATCTGTAGGACATTTACAGTTTGACAAAGCACTTTTAAGAGCTAGGCAGAGCAAGTATTATTATCCCCACCTTATTAAGGAGGAAGCTTAGGCTCAAAGTTGTAAAGTGAGTCGCCCAAAACTACATAGTAAATAACAGATCGTGGCTGCCTAATTCGTAGTATAATGTGCTCTCTGTTGTGTTATTCTACTGGCTATGTCCAGGGGATAGAAATCTGGAGAAGAGTTACTTCTCAACTCTGCAGAAGGTTCTCTTCCTTAGTTCTAAAGTGAAGGCATTCTTTAGCCATACTTAATCACATTTGAATATAACTTTTCTACTTTGCTTTGAACAAATGACAATCAATATTTTTAAAATCTGCAACTAAGTTTAACTGAGAAAAAGCCTCTGTGAAGTTTTAAAAATATACATGAAAGCTATGAAGTTAGCAAATTAATTTTGATATTTTTCTTACTCTGGAAATTAATATTAACTTTTTCAGTAATGTGCACCTTTCTTTGGATTGGACCTAAATGTGCCTTTAGTAATGTTAATTTTGCTAGATTTTATGGGTATGCTTATAAATTTAGGACTTATTCTTACTTTAATTAGCCATAATTATCTGAAACTTGAACTTTGGAATGTTTTTTCTCCTCATTTTTTAATTCCACCAGGTCACGATGGTAGCTCTGAAACTAACATATGGACCTTTTATTATTTGGCAAATATTTCTCCAACAAATATAAGATTATTTTAAATTGCTTTCCTATTCACAGTGTGGAGTGCAGTAAAACAAGAGAATCTATGAAATTAGCTTCACCTTTGTTCCTGTCTCTACTATACCATTTGGTATATTATATTGTAATCATTTATTTGTCTGTGGTTTTTGAGGATAAGGACTTTGTCATGGCATTTTCAGAGGTAGTGTAGTATAAATAAAAGAAAATAAACTTTGGAGTCAGTCAGACCTGGTTCCAAATCCTAGGTCTATCACTTTCCAGCTGAGGGCCCTTGGGCAAATTCCTTCACCTCTGAGCCTCAGTTTACATACCTTTAAAATAAGGAAAATAATACCAACTTCATACGGTTGTTATGACAAATTATTAAATGCACTCAACACAGTTCTGCTACATAATAGGTGCTTCACGAATAAATATTCGAATAAATATTCCTCTCCTTTTCGTGTTAGCATCCCTAGGCTAACAGGGATACTTAAAAAAAAGTTTGTTACTGGGGCTTCCCTGGTGGCGCAGTGGTTGAGAGTCCGCCTGCTGATGCAGGGGACGTGGGTTCGTACCCCGGTCTGGGAGGATCCCACATGCTGTGGAGCGGCTGGGACCATGAGCCATGGCCGCTGGGCCTGCGCGTCCGGAGCCTGTGCTCTGCAACGGGAGAGGCTGCAACAGTGAGAGGCCCATGTACTGTAAAAAAAAAAAAAAAAAAAGTTTGTTACTTAAAGTCTTATTAAACTTTCATTGAATGACTGAATGATTGTTTGAATACATATTTTGTCAAAGAAGAATCATGTTTAAAGAATAAACAGTTATTATAGAATGAATTTTCTATTGAATTTAACTTTTTTCAATTTAGCTGTAACTTAAAAATGTATTCTCCCTACATTTCAAAATTATTGGTGCTGTGTGCTAGTGAGTGGAGGTTAACACTGCATAGTCTCACTGCACCAAGCTCTCTGCTTTCTATGTCTTATGAGGCTTCTTGCCTTTTAGGTATTCTACGTGGTTACTATTTTGGAAGTGTTTGTTTTGAGGAAGAAATGTTGCCCTTATCTTCCTTGTCCTTCCTCATGGCATTATTTTGGTTTCTCTCATTTATAACGCTCACCTTACTCTAGATTGTACTGACATTATTTGTAGACTTGTCTTTGGCCACAAAGAGCTCAAAATCTACTACCGAGGTTCTTAACTTATTCAAGCTTCTTGAATAATCTTTTTGAGACTATGATAAAAGGTATGAAATGTACCCCCAGAAGAATGTACATATGTACAAACAAAAGTTTTCTTATTAGTTCTGGAGGTTCATGGACTCCAGGGTAAGGACTCTTTTTCTAGATTGTGTGTTTCTTAAGAGCAGTACCTGGGGGGACTTCCCTGGTGGTCAAGTGGGTAAGACTCCGCACTTCCAATGCAGGGGGCCCGGGTCCGATCCCCGGTCGGGGAACTAGATCCCACGTGCCTGCTGCCACTAAGAGTCCACGTGCTGCAACTAAGAAGCCTGCAAGCCGCCACTAAGCAGCATGCAAGCCGCAACTAAGAGCCCGCATGCCTCAACTAACCCTCAGCGCAGCCAAAACAGATAGATAGATACATAGATATTTAAAAAAAAAAAAAAGCAATACCTGGGTTTCATTGACCTTTGACAGAGCCTACTGTGTATATAGGAGATACTCAGCAAATAGTTTCTGAATTTATGAATTTAAATGCAAAATGAAAACCTTCAGGTTTCTTACTACAGAATCTCTAAACATGTCTTTTTTGTTTCCTTAGGCTTCCATCTCAGTGGCACAGTAACTGAGCCGGCCACTACTTCTGAACCAGCAGTGACTTATAAAGTTGCCATCAGTTTTGATCGATGCAAAATCACTTCAGTGGCGTGTGGCTGTGGGAACAAAGACATATTCTACTGTGCCCATGTGGTAGCGCTCTCACTCTACAGGATCCGTAAACCAGACCAAGTCAAACTGCGTCTTCCTATCTCAGAAACCCTTTTCCAGATGAATAGGGACCAGCTACAAAAGTTTATTCAGTATTTAATCACGGCACACCACACTGAAGTTCTTCCTACTGCACAGAAGCTGGCAGATGAGATTCTATCCTCCAACTCCGAAATCAACCAAGTAAACGGTAATTGTACAACATTTTTGTTGCTAAAAATATATTTTGTTGCTTTATTGCATGTTTAGAGATTGGGATACGTTTGCCATTGTAATCACTCAACCTTAATCAGTTCATTCTATCCAAACTATTTATTAACTCTGTTTCTTAAAGCAATCCAATTGTCCACCTCATAAAGGTTTGGCACAAAAGGACAGAGAATGTTAGAGTTACATATTGATCTAGTTTATGGACTTCATTTGTCCTTACAATCCCTGCCCCAGGAGCCTGGGATATTCAGGAGTGAGAGAAAGCATAAAATAATTAGTGTCATTCAGTGAACTGAAATGGATATGAGAATTCCTTAACATTTCAGGAAACTGCATAGCATCAGGGTTATTCCAAAGAGCATCTGCTAGCATTGTGTTTATGAGCTATATAATGGGAGGGTTTATGGATGGAGAAAGATATTATGTTCACTTACTCATTCAACAAGTATATGTTGAGTACCTACACTGTGCAAGTGGTAGTGCTGATTGTTGAGAGCATAAAACAGACATGGTTCCTGCCTTCAAATAGCTTATAATCTAGTAGAAAAAACAGCTAAGTCTGAAATAAATGCTTGCATTTATTATGAAGCCAGGTTGTAGATATTTAATCACAGGAAACCGTCGAAGAATTTTGAGAAGAGGAGCTATATGAGCCAATTTTTCATTTTGTTAGTTAGGTCCTACTATCTTCCAGGCATCATGCAAGAGATTCTATACATGTTTATATATGTTAATTCATTTAGTTTTAAAAACTACCCTGTGAGGTAGGTATTATAACCATTTCCATTTTATAAATAAGGAAATTATTTATAACCTAGGCTCACCTGATTTCAGAACTCAGGTTTTTAATGCTTCTCTATACTACCTCTCTATTTTTAGAAGAAACTTTGGTATTAGTGTGAACAAGGCAGTGAGGCCAGATGAATGGCCTGTATAATACTATAGTACATGCCAAAGGGCCTGCTTTTCCCAGTTGCCCAATAGAGCTAATCAAGTCCTACACACAGCCTCACCACTCCTCAGAAATAAGGATAGTCAGACAGGCTTCCAAGAACTCTTGCTAACTAGCTGAAATAATCTTCTGTTGTTTTATCCTCAAAGTTGTAGTGTTTACATGGTAACTGAGCTCTATTTGAGATACTGTTAAAGAGTAACTATATATATATATATATATATATATATATATCTTCTTATCCCACATAGGGAGGCTGTTCTATTTCTCTGGCCTCCTTAAGTCTAGAGTTCTTAGGGACCTGAGTTCAGCTCCAGGTCTGTAACACCACAGCTGGGTTATGGCCTACTTTCGTGCATCGTTCCCACTAGCTCTTTCTCAGAATTTTTGCCTATATCCAAGCTCTCTTGCCTTTTTCTTGAACTAACCACCTTGGTTGAGTACCTGTATTGCACCTGCCTTGTTCATCACCACTGTCACCAAAGCAATCCTCTTTCCCCTTTACCACTGTGCTGAAGCAATCTTTATTCCTCGTTATACCTCCCATCTCAGCAACTTATCATATGTCTGAAATTAGTCTAAGTTGCCAGAGTGAACTTGAGATGTTATTCTCAACCTTCCCCAGGAATTACTACTTCTGTACCTGTGTTTATTCCAGACTAATATTAGCTTTCTACCCCAGGTTCCCTAGTATTCCACAAGGTCTTTCTTAATATATTTCTAATAACCAGTGCTGATATAGGCAATGATACTGAAAATGATGAGGGCGAGGAGTGGAGATATCTTAGAGGCAACATGGACTGGATTCAACATCCAGGTGTGTAGGATGGGTGGGGAGTGAAGAAGAGGAAGATGCGAAAAAACTCAGTTCCAGAATGTCCAACTACGATGGCTGGATTTGACAATAATATTGCCATTCACTTAGGGAACGTAAGGGGAGGGATAAATTAGGAGGAAGACCAATTCAGTTTAAGTTTGAGGTGCTTGTAGAACACTTATGTGAAGACCTCTGATACAAAATTGGGTATTGGATCTGGAGCTGAGGACAAAAGTCAGAATTTTGGAGTTACTAGCATAGAGATGATCTTTGAAGTCCTGTTTCTGTTCCCCCGCTAAATCTATAAACACCTAGATCTTCCGTCTCCTCTCTCTCAAGCCCTACTCTTCACCAAAACAGACTTTAAAAAGCAGGAATAAAATTTCTAAAACTGCTAGCTACCTGCTTTTTTTTTTTTTTTTTTAAATTTTGGCTGCATTGGGTCTTCGTTGCTGCATGTGGGCTTTCTCTAGTTGGCGGTGAGCAGGGGCTACTCTTTGTTGTGGTGAGTGGGCTTCTTATTGTGGTGGCTTCTCTTGTTGTAGAGCACGGGCTCTAGGCACGTGGGCTTCAGTAATTGTGGCACACGGGCTCAGTAGTTGTGGCTCATGGGCTCTAGAGTGCAGTCTCAGTAGTTGTGGTGCACGGGCTTAGTTGCTCCACGGCATGTGGGATCTTCCCAGACCAAGGCTCGAACTCGTGTCCCCTGCATTGACAGGTGGATTCTTAACCACTGTGCCACCAGGGAAGCCCTAGCTACCTGCTTTTAATCCCAGGAATGGATCCAGGTATTGCTCTGCTCCTCATGTCCCTGAAAATTTTTATTAGTCCCTGTAAGTGGTTTTAGCTAGACTTTGCCTTGTCCCCTTTGGATTGGTGATTCAATTTGGACTGTCTTTCCAACTCTTCATCTAGCACTGCTCCATGCTCTGTTTGTGATTTTCTCTGGTAACTCCATATCCCGAGATTCTCTGGCATATAGCATCCAGGCTAGGTCTTCAGTGGCTGTTTATCCATACAGAGAGTTTGGATACCAAGAGAAAATTATGATAACTTGAGGAGTTAGGTCAGGAACCATGTCTTACAAATTTCTGAGTCTCCATCACCAAGCATGGTACCTGGAAAATAATAAGGATTTGTTGAATGAGTACAACAAATCCTTACTATTTGTTGTATTCATGCATATACAGGTGATGAAACAGGGGCCAGTGTAGGAATTAGCAAAGTAGAATGAGAAATGAGGAGAAGCTGGCAACTAACTATAAAATTGAGTTTTAAGTATAAAATTGAGTTTTAAGAAGTAAATGGTCAACAATGTTGAATATTGTGGAAGATACAGACCAGAACTAACAAACATAGATCAGCAATTTGGGGGAAACAGAGAATATGCAGAGAGAAGAAAACCTTGAAAAATTATTATTAATATCATCATAGGAATAGAAGAAGATATTGTAACCATGAAATAAAAACTGGATACTATAAAAAGAAATTCAAAGAACAGAAAGAACTAATGAATATTACAAATATAATGGCAAAAAAATTATAAAACTAAGTGAAGGAAAATAAAGGTAAGGAAAGTTCCTATAGAGTAAAACAGAAAGACAAAGAGATTAAAAAAAAAAAAAGAAGAGATGAAAAATAGGAAGAAAAAAGGCTGTTAAAAATTAAGAGAATGGGGCTTCCCTGGTGGTGCAGTGGTTGAGAGTCTGCCTGCCAATGCACGGGACACGGGTTCGTGCCCTGGTCCAGGAAGATCCCACATTGCTGCGGAGCGGCTGGGCCCATGAGCCATGGCCGCTGAGCCTGCGCATCTGGAGCCTGTGCTCCACAACGGGAGAGGCCACAACAGTGAGAGGCCCACGTACTGCAAAAAAAAAAAAAAAAAAATTAAGAGAATGAGTCCTGGAATTCCAATGTTTGAAAAATAGGGATTCCAGAAATAGAAAACAGAGGTAAGGAATTCATCAATAAAATAATTAAAGAATGTTTTCTAGAACAAAAATGTGTGAGTTTCCAAAGTGAAAGGATTCCACTAAATGCCCAGCAATGGGAAAAGAAGAATCTTTTGAATAAATAAGGCTGGATCAATTGGAAATTCATTCTGGGGAAAAAAAACCTTGATTCCTACCTCATGCGATACAGAAAAATTAATTGCCAATGAATTGCAGACATAAATGTGAAAAGTAAAATAATAAAGCATATAGGAGATAATATGAAAAAATATTTTCATATTCTTGAGGTAAAAAAAATTTAAGTAGGAGAAGATTGATAAATTGAACTACATTAAAATTTTTAAACTTCCGTTTATCAAAAGGCACCATTAAGAGACTAAAAAGGCACACAAGTAGTGGGAGAAGATATTTACAATACATACAGCTGACAAAGGGCTTGTATCCTAAATACCTTAAGAACCCTTACAAATAGTAAAATGGACAGAGACACAAAAAGGCACTTGGCAAAAACGATATCCAAGTGGCTAATAAACATATTAAAAGGCACTTTAACTAATTAGTAATCAGGGAAATGAAAATTAAAACCACAGTGAGATTCCACTACATAGCCACCAGAATGGCTAAATTTTTTAAATTATCAGTATCAAGTATTGGTGAGGATATTGAGCAACTGGAAATAATATATTGCAGGTAGGAGTGTAAATTGTTACAGTCACTTTGGGAAACTGTTGGGTATCATCTAACTCAAGTTGAACCTATGTGTACCCTATGACCCAGAAATTCTTCTCCTAGATGTCTACCCAATGGAAATGAGTAGCATAATTTGTGAGAGCCTGAAATAGAAACAATCCAAATGTCCATCAGTAGTAGAATGGCTTAATAAATTAATACGTTCCTTTAATGTAATACTATATATCAATGAAAATAAGTTGTTTTGCTAAACATAATAATATGAGTCTTACAAACATGATGTTGAGTGAAATAAGCCAGACACAAAAGAATAAATGTTGTATGATTCCATTTATGTAAAGTTCAAAAACAAGTCCCTAGTGTTAAAAGTCAGGTTAGTGGTTAATTTGGGAGAAGAGGAAGGGAGATGGTGTTTGCAAAGGGGCTTCTAGGCTGCTGGTAGTATTCTATTTTCTTGACTTCAGTGATAGTTATTATAATCACTATGTGATAATTCATCAAGCTTTACAATTAAGATTTGTGTACTTTTCATAATTCATATTTCAATTAAAATTTTTAAATTTAATTTA